TAATGTATTAAACTTTTTAATGTAACGTAAGAAATTTTTCTTAAATATATATATATATATATATATATATATATATATATATATATATATATATATATATATATATATATATATATATATATATATATATTGTTAAGTTAACAACAATATTAATACAAATTAATATAATTAATAATTAATATAATTAACAAAGAACTTGTTAATTATATTTTAAATCCTTGTTCTTGACTCAAACTAGCAACATTAAAAAACTCATCTGATTAAGTTCTTCGATTTCATTCTAATAAAATGAGCTCAAACCGAAAAACAAGTTTAGTGTGGAAGTACTTCATAATTGAAGCAAACAATCCAAGAATGGTTGAGTGCAAAATCTGCAACAGCAAAGTTTCAAGAGGATCTGATGACCCAAAAAAACAAGGATTAAGTGGACTCACGTCACACCTGAAGAATCATCATCCTGACATCAAACTTACGCCCGAAAAAGCAGAAAATCCAAAGGCAAATGAAGAAGCTGACTTAAATTCCAACAAGAGAAAGGCAGTTACAATCTTCAACATGTGATCAAAAAAACAAAGATCTGACATGTTACAATCTACAATTCCAAACTGGGTTCAAGCTTCTTCAAAAATTGACTCTAATTCTGAAAAAGGCCAAAAATTTCACAAGTCAATTTTTGAAATGATGATTCTTGACCTCCAACCATGGTCTATTGTCAATGATGCTGGATTTTTGAGGCACCATGCTCTTATTGCTCCAAATTACGAAATTGCTAGCGAAAAATACTACAGAAGTTTACTGGATCCGACTTACGAAAAAATTAAAGTTGCTCTCAAGGAAAAGCTGGTTCAATCAGAAGCTGAAAATGTGTCTGTCTGCCTTGATGCATGGTCATCATTTCATCATGGCTATCTGGGAATGACTGTTCACTTTATTTCCAAAGACTGGAACCGTGTCAAATTTTGCATCTCTTGTTCTCCATTTGATGAAAGTCATACTGCAAAAAATATTTTCAAAGAGATCAAAGCAGCAGCAGAGGAATGGGAAATTTCTTCAAAAATTGGAGTTTGCTTAAGAGACAACGCAGCAAATGTAAAAGCAGCCTTCAATGAGCCAAGCTGTAATTATAAGTCAGCTGGATGCCTTAACCACTCCCTTCAACTTGTGATAAAAAAAGACCTATTATCAGATCCTACCATCAACGAACTGATTGAAAAGAGTCGAAAACTTTGTTCTTACGCATCCCATTCTATTGGTTTCTACACTGAACTTTACAGACAGCAAGAAATCCAAATGGATAGAAAAGACAGACTTGGCTTAAAAAACGATGTTGCCACAAGATGGAACTCTACCTATTACATGCTTGAGCGAATTTTACACCTGAAACCAGCCATTGCTGCAACCTTACTCAAATTTCCTTCTGTGGGAATTGAATTTTCCGTCCAAGATTGGAGCCTCTATGAAAAAGTGGTGAGGATTTTAAGTGTTTTTGAGGAGGCAACAAAAATGTTGTCAGGTAGTGATTCTTGTATCAGTTCCTGCATTCCAATTGTGACAACAATAATTAAAGCTTTGGAAACAACCTCCGGCGACGTCAGTGTTCAGAAATTGAAAATAGCTATGAAAAATGCAATGGAAAAACGTTTTTCAGCAATTTAAAAAACAGAACATTATTCAGTTGCTACTTTACTTAATCCAAAATACAAATGGTATTTTTTCCGATCTCAAGCTGCTTTGCAAAATGCCAAACACATTGTCATGTCCCAAATGGAGAATTTTGAACCTCTTGAAGATAAATTGGCTCCTGTTACTCAAATTCCATCTGGTGACAATGAAAAAAACACGGCATTCTCGCACATGATGTCAAAAATTATTGCACAGTCTCAAACAGGACCAAATGAGCATTCATCTTCCAAAATGACGAGGGAAGTGTTGAAGGATTTTTTGGATTGTCCAATGGCTTCTCATTGCCTAGAATTTTGGAAAAACTATGAAAAAAATGCGACTAGCAAAATCAAGTTAGCATTGACTAAGGTGGCAAAAAAGTACCTCACACCACCTCCAACATCCACAGATGTTGAAAGATTGTTTTCTACTGCTTGAGGTATTCTATCTAACGAAAGAAACAGACTCCTTCCAGAAAATTTGGAAAAACTCCTTTTTTGTCGAGAAAATCTTGCAGTTGTTGGATTCTGCTATTAATCATTTTTTATTAATTTAACTTTGTGTTTTAATTGGAATAAACTTGCAAACAAAAACTATTATTTATTTTTGGTTTTGGTTTCGGCTCTGGTTAGGGTTTACTTTCGGTTCCGGTTCCGGTTAGGAATGTTTAAAATCTATTTTCGGTTCGGTTCCGGTTCCGGCAAAATTTCAGTGCCGGTCGATCACTACTTATTGTATGTACTACTGCTATTTAAAAAGTAGTTAAATATTTTTTTCTATATATACGAATAAATAAATAAAGCAGTTTATTTCTATTTGAAAGTTTTCCCAATTCATTCATTTCAGGGACCGCAAATACGTTAAAACTAATATTTAACATATATAAACTTTAGTAACTGCTTTTTTTTTCAAAGAACATAGTTGTAAAATCTGTGTTTTTTGTAATTATAGCTTCTTCTTTTTTTTTAAGATTTGATAAGTTCTTACGGTCTTATCAAGTTGATAAGACCATAAGGATTTCTTGGGGCATGTAAAAAAAAAATTTGATGTACTGTTATTTTTGTAACCCTAATAAACACTTCCTCTAGTACTTTATAAATAATTTTTCATCACTTCTCTACGGCTCAGGGTGTTCCATATAGCACACTTTTTTTTCGTGAGCAAAGAATATTTATAACCTATCAATCTTTATATACATAGTTATTCAAATAATTATATTTAATATATATATATATATATATATATATATATATATATATATATATATATATACATATATATATATATATATATATATATATATATATATATATATATATATATATATATATATATATATATATATATATATATATATACACATTTTAATAATACAAATAAGTAATGGTACAGTTATTTAGCCTTATTACTAAAATATAGCTAGCATTATTTTGTTTACTTAGGAAACTCACTAGATAAATTGCCGATTCAAACAAAACCAAAAACAATGTAAAAAAATTAACTGATTTTGAAGAAAAAGGTTTCTTTCGAAAACTTTGTTTATAAAGCATAAAATACAATAATTCTTAAAAGCCAAAATTTACTTAAAAGCCAAAATATTTTAACTCTGGCAATGGAGATTGCCAGAGTTAAAATTACCCTATCAAGATTACCCTATCAGTATCCTCTTTACTGGTTTTCCTAGAGCATTTAGCAAATTACCCTATCAAGAATACCCTATCAACATCCTCTTTACTGGTTTTCCTAAAGCATTTAGCAGATTTTACCAGACAAAACTTATATTTTAAAATTAAAATGTTTTTGTATAAATAGGGTTGACAGATGTCCTGCTTTTACGAAGGAGAACACAGTAAAAATTTTAATTCTTATGGGTTTGGCACTGTATTCTCCTATGTAAAAGCCAGGCATTTGGCAACCATAGATATAAAGGGGTTAGTTCTTAAATAGATTAAGTCTTTTTTATCATATAGATGACAAAGAGTAGTTGTTGAAGGCATTATTTCTGTGGCTTAGTGATTTAAGTGGTGTGCCACAAGGCTCTGTTCCGGGACCAAGTTTTATGTTGATGATTACACAGTTTACCAGATGTAATAACAGTAGTAATAATCTACAGGATAACATAAATTTTATTTTTAATTGGTGCAATAACTGGAGTATGCAATTAAATATAGAAAAGTGCAAAATTATGTATGTTACTAAAAGAACCAAATTTAACAAAAATATCAAAAAATTCTACATTTTTTTGATTATGACTGAAGAATGTGAAAATGACTTTAGTGTCATAATTAAAAACGATCTGAAATATTATTAGCATATACCTGCATGTGTTTCTAAAGCAAATAGAATTTTAGGTCTTATCCAACACACATTTTTGTTTTTTAATGTTGGTATATTTAAATTGTTATACATTTTGCTGGTATGCCCTCATTTTGAAAATATGTTTTCTATTTGGAATCCATTGTTTAAATAAAGAAAATTATATAATTGTAAAAGAGAAACTTAAAACAACAAGACTAATTCTAGGATATAATTCTACAGAACTACTGAGGAAAGATTAAAACTACAACAGAACTACTGAGGAAAGATTCAAACTACTACAGAATTACTGAGGAAAGATTAAAACTACAACAGAACTACTGAGGAAAGATTAAAACTACTACAGAACTACTGAGGAAAGATTAAAACTACTACAGAACTACTGAGGAAAGATTCAAACTACTACAGAACTACTGAGGAAAGATTCAAACTACTCGGAACTATTGAGAAAAGATTCAAACTACAACAGAACTACTGAGGAAAGATTAAAACTACTACAGAACTACTGAGGAAAGATTAAAACTACTACAGAACTACTGAGGAAAGATTCAAACTACTACAGAACTACTGAGGAAAGATTAAAACTACTACAGAACTACTGAGGAAAGATTCAAACTACTACAGAACTACTGAGGAAAGATTCAAACTACTACAGAACTACTGAGGAAAGATTCAAACTACTCGGAACTACTAAGAAAAGATTCAAACTACAACAGAACTACTGAGGAAAGATTAAAACTACTACAGAACTACTGAGGAAAGATTAAAAAAGACTTAACTTAACAACTTTATAATTGCGTTGTACTTCATCACAATTGTACTTATTTGAAACAATTTAAAAAAAAAACTTGATGAACTTTATTATGTGACTTAACATTTTAAATTTTAGTTCTTAAACTTGCTGCTAAACTGATTTTTGATACCGTGAGAATATGCTCACTAAGTAGTAAAACCGCTAAATAATAAAAATACATTGAACTGGTATAGATAACACAATAAATATTTAAATTTATTTATTTTAGAATGGAAACTGCAACTAAGGAGTTTATTAAATCTGCCAAAATCCTTTTTTGGTATCTTTTCGTTCAAAATGAAACACAAGGAAAGCTATCAAGAACAGAAGATCAAGGTTTTGTTATTAATGCAATCAAGGATATTGCAACTGGACATTTAAAGACTTATTTTGCATACCTCAGCAGTAAAAGTACAAGAAACGTCATTATGGAAACATATCAAAATGAGTTTCCTGGCCTTGTGCATTTTATCTATACCAATAGGTAATATTTAGTTCTAAAGAATTTATGTTATGCTAAAATAATTAAAGTTGTTTTAAAGATATAAATAATGTAATTTAATAAAATTTTATTTTTAGAGTAACAAATTGTTTTATTGCACCCACAATTAATATTAAAACAGATCCGATATTGAGTCAGCTACGTCGATATATTATCATTAAACAGCGAATATGGGACTTTTGGCAATATGCTGAAACGATGTTGACAAAAGGATATTCATCCATAATGATAAATGATGGAGATTTTAGTTATTCATATTTTATTTGGTTTGAAGATTTTGGTGGTAATTGTTTGCATTCCGATATATCTTTGCGAGATATGAACATAGACCAACCAACTGGAGTGCTTTCAGGTTCATTTTACAGGTAAGTTAAATATATGTATAAATTTTACACAATTATTTTAAAAAATAATTAATGTTTTATTTACTGTTACTTTGTGTTTCATTTAGTACTCTATAATATTTATCTTTTAGTGTTGTGTTACCATGTTATATTATCTTGTGGTCACAATAAACACAACTTTAAACATAATAATAAGGGGGTCCAAAATTTTATATTTTTTGTTTTACCAGTTACCTATAATTTTTTTTGAAAGCGTTCAAAAACAATTTAGTTTTTGTTAGTTTTTTGTAATTGACATTCTACTTCTATTTTTAATATGCTCAAGCATTTTTAATATTAAAAAAAAAAGAAATATTTGCAGCGCATTCTTTGCATGTAAAGTTACGCAATGTGCAATTTAAATTTTGATTGGATAACTTTGAATTGAAATGAATGAAAAGTGGCGTTTAAACAAAAGTAAGTCTTATCTAGTGTAAAAATTTGCTTTTGATTTACTTCGCTAGAAAATAGTTTGCTATTAATTTTGTTAACTAAATTTAGATACCAAATAAAATGAAAAAAAATTGCAACAAGAAGAAACAAACTAGTAAACAAATAAATCAAAATTAATAAATTTTTTTAGAAATCTCCCAGACAAATTTTATCATACAAAGTTGCCTTTACTCAGGGTTGCTTTTGTACTTTAACAATAAATTTTGGAAATTTTCATTAAATAAGAATGCTCGTCGTAGAAGCAGTTCGTATGTACACATCAAAAAACTTGGATGATCATTCTTGCAAATATAGTTTTGCAAAACTTAGCTATATTTTTTCAACAGAAAATAAGAAAATATTATGGTTTGGAAAAAGATAATGAAATTATCTTTTTCCAAAAACATAATGGAATAACTGATGTACTACGTTTTCAATCAAGTTTTTATCAATTTATTAAAATATTACAAATAACATTGAACTTAAATAAAACAAGAACTTAAGCACTCATTGCAATAGGCTTCGTAAATACCGTCGATTACAAAAATTCCTCGTGGTAATATACTATATATCCAAATTATTGTGAAATCAAGATTCAGGTAACTTAAAAATATTACAGGAAATGTCTTATTGTTAAAAAAATTAAAAAAATATAAAATACAGTCGGTATCAGTGACAGAAACAGCTGAGAGCAGATTGGCAAAAAAAGAATTGTTAGTTTTTCATTAGGTGTCCGAAAAAAATTATATTTTAGCTTGTTTAAAATTACAAGGCAGCCCATTTATTTGTGAATCAATGTCAATAAATACATTGAAAAAAGAGAAAGATATGTTAAATGTCAAAAACGATTGATAAATGGAATGTTTATTTTAGTAATACAGTAGATGATTGCAGCGAAGATTCACTTTATTTAAAATCATAAAGGTTAATAAAAATAATAATTTAGTCCAAAATAACAATTTAGTCTCAATTTAACGGTCGGACATCGCCACCCCTCAGACCATCGGGGGCCGGCGATGTCCGACCGTTATAATTGAGCCTTGGAGTCTAATTTTTTGTAGTATTTATAACTACACATGATTACGTATTTTATAAAATGAAAATGAAAAGAAAAATATTAACTATGGATTCTATTTTGATAATGGTAATGAATTCATTTAATTTAACAATTGTTTTATCAAAACAATCACTTTTATTGAAATTGAAGTAGAAACAATCACTTTTATTGAAATTGAAGTAGAAACAATCATTTTTATTAAAATTGAAGTAGAAACAATCACTTTTATTGAAATTGAAGTAGAAGGCCAAATATTTATAATGAAAAAAGGTATTAAGTAATTCAAAATTAGCATAAAAATGTTAATTAAGAAAAAGTAGTTAAACTAAACATAATCAAAAAAAAAAGTTTATTTTGGACCCCAATAATTATAGTTGATGTGACAAAGTAGTTGATGTGACAATTATAGTCGATGTGACAAAGATTACATACAGCTTTTATTCGGCTGTTTAATCTAAGTTTTTAACAGAAATAATATTTGAAAAAAAATATTATTTGCTACAATTGCTCCAATTCCAAGTCGAAAAAAATACCAAACCTAAATTATTAAAACAGTCTACTAAACTATGTTGCTACAAAACTACGTTTTTTATCAAAACTCAGTTCTTATCAATGTTATCTTTATCAAAGTTATTTATAATACCGAAAGCAATTATACTTCAATTCTTTATATGAATCGAGTAAAATTCTTGATATAAATTAAACGAGGTATTGTATGACAATTACAGCTGTAAATATAAAATATGTTAAATTATTATTTTTGGTCAAGAAATGCAAAAGTTTAATATGTAAAATTTTTGAATATGAAATGTCTCATTTTACTTAAACGTGAATGAGATACGAGTTAGTGATATGCGTTTTTATACGATTTATTTTTTCCACAATCATGCAAAAAGTTAAAAACGAGTTCTTTTGAAACTACATTTGATTTATATTTTAGAAATATGATCCAACATCTTTTCCCGTCAAAATCTTCTGAAAACGTGTATTGTTATGAACTTGTATGCATGTATCTTGCTGGTGTCAGCAATAATTTTATATCTAACTCATGTAAAGAACTTGTGAAAACTTTAAGAAAGACAAACCAAACAACTAGTTATGGTTATATCTCTAGAAATTGATTTTTAGTCGATACTTAAATCTATACTTATTTAAATCGATACTCTGTCACAAGAAATATATTGAAACAATTTTATTTTCTTATTTGATTTTGTAATTAAATTTGTTTTATAATAAACTTTAGAATTGTATAAAATAGATACATTTTATTTTATTTTAATTAAAAATAAATTTCTGAAAATTTTTCTTTGTTGAAAAGCATTCATCAATTACACGTGGTACTGAAGTGGGTGGCATTTAGTACTTTTTTGACTGGTTTTATTCCTGTCTATACTATAGATTCTGTAGCTGATCCTTATTATAAACACATATCGTGTTTATAAACAAAAGTAACTTCTATCATTTCCGACCAGACCGAGAAAGATTAGAATTACTTTATAAAATTACCGTAATAAAATTTTCATTGATTAAAATAAAAGACCAAAAATTTATGATAATATATGGCTTGTTAAATATAAAGTTGAAACATTTTAGAAGTATGCGCTTTGAATTAGGAGTTTTTTTGTTTTGTTTTTATTTTTGTTAAATACTTCATATTCAAATTATACGGAACCGGTGTGTTCCGTAAGCCCATCAACAGCTAGCCGGACTAACTCGTGCGAAATTGCACGTTAGATGATGCAGTGTGGTAATTATAGGAATAGCTGATCGAATTTGTCTTTGAAACAGTTGACAATGATAGCAATTTTGTTTGGTAGTGCATTCCATGGGTGATCGATGTCGCTTTTGAAACGAACAAGGCAATTGTTGTCCATTTGATGAAAGCGCTTACGATAACCATGTCTTGGTAAGATTTTAAGTCAATATGCCAGCTAATTGAGTTGTTCTCAATTTTATTTTTTTGGATGAGGTTGTATCCAAATGCATCACGTCTCGACTTCATTTTGTGCAGTACTTTGGTAGCCCAATGCTGGATGTGTTTTATGGCATTTTTCAAGGTACGGGCACAAGTCGGTAACTGCAAATTCGAGATGTGGGGCGTAGATAGGTGGTTTAAAGTATTTTTTATCTTTATAATTTATACATATATTTATACATAAATTTTTTTTAATTTTGTTTATAAGTATTTATTAAATATTGCATAGCATATAAATGAACTTTACAATTTTTTTTCATAATGTATCTGGAGTATTATTCTCTTAGGTTAAAATGATAAGTGGCAGATGTACCGACAGTGAATTACTTACGATTATATAGGTTTTTGATACTAACTCAAAGTATAAGTAAATATTTCTGAACAAACGTTTTTTGATAAAATGTATTGGTTTTATATAATAATCTGTCAGGAATTCTGCCGGTGGTTTGAGTTTCGAAGTTATTGTATGTGTTGGGTTAGATAGGATATTTTTAAAGTAATTTTACATTTAATATATCGAAGAGCTTATTATATCAATAAGCTCTTCGATATTGTGACATCCACACCAATTCATCTAAATTTTTTTAGATGGATAGTAAGGTTATTGTATTAATGTTTTAATTAATTACTATTATTCAATTTTGCGGCGATCTTAATGTATAAATTATCCAAGTAACAGAAAGACGTTTATCATAAAGAAGGAGTTAAGAATTATTTATATGGTGTGGGTTCTTGATATTGATTGATTCTTGATATTGATTTAGAGTCCCTTAGGGATCAATTCTAGGACCGTTATTTTTTAAATTTAATCAATGATATGTAAAGGACCTTTTATTTTTAATTTAATAAATGTGGCTCTTAATTTAATCAACGATATGTATACTGAACTGGAAAACTTTAACTTAATGATTTAGAGCCAATAAACTATTTTTAAACTGTGATGAGCTAGTTTTATTTTAGTTCATAAATTTGGTCAACCAATAAATCTTCCGTCAAAAACTCCAGAACTGCTCACCATACACTTATCATCAAACAATAAAATGAGGAATATGTACAAAAATTCTTGTGTATGAAAATTTGTCAAGGAGAAATCATAAAGGCCAAGTTAAATGTAAAATATCGTCTATAATAGGCTCTTGATCACTTCTTGATTTTAGTTCACGAATAAACGTTGTAATTGATTTAAGTATAATCCATAACCATCTCTCGCATGCTAATATAGTATGTGTTAATACATATAAAATCAAATTAATTAAATTTCATTGTTTGCCAAACTTAATTTGTGTCTTATACTAACTTTTATGATCAAATTTGTTACCAAGCCTACTTTTCAACTTGATGAAATCACAGCGAACAACATTCTCGATCTAATTATAGCTGAAAATGAAAATTGGGTCCTCAATATTATTCACCATATACCTTTGACGTCTCTGAAAAAATCTCTCCACATCTTTCAACGAGATTAAGTTGATCACAACGCATTTATCACAAAAGTAACTTTGTAAAGATATCCGAATATTAACAATATCGACTGGCAAATGGAATTTCATGGACGCAATACTGATGACTGTTATAACATTTTCCTGAACCACTACGAGGCTGTATACAAACCTTATGTCCCAGTGACTAATTCAAATTGGATTCGTCGAAGAAGCAAATGGATGAATGATGACATTAAAAGTAAAATAAAAGCTAAAAATAAACTAAAAATAAATGGTTTCGATATAGAACAAGTGGATATAAAAATCTTCAACTTGTAAACGAATACAAATAGCGTAATATTCGATGAAGAAGCTTATATATCAAGCTTGTTGTGAATTTGAACTTGATTTAGCGATAAAATCAGAGCACAATCCAAAGATCCTGTTCAAGTTAATAGCAAACAAAATGTTAGAACTACAATAATAGCGTTAAAAGGAATCAATGGCGATACTAACGCAAATTCAATAGAAATTGCAAATCGACTAAACGACCACTTTCAAAGTGTTTTCAACAAAATCGAAGATGATTTATAAAACGAACTGAAGTCATCTTCAAATCTGGTTAAAAACAAGCTAAGCAATTTATCTGGTAATAAAACCGTTGGTGTGGAAGGTCTTAGCGGGTGTGACTAATTTCTTGGAGTTGATTGACGTGATGTCAAAAGCAATTATCTGACAAAGTATCTATGGACGTAGCATTTATAGATTTCAGTAAAGCTTTCAATATGGTTTTTCACAGGAGGCTAATTTACAAACTCGAGGCATATGATTTTACTGGAAATCTCCTGAATTGGATAAAATCGTTTTTACACCTGCGCACACTGGGGTATTTGATTGATTTAGGCGGCGAAAAATAATTTTTAACCTTTAATTAAAAAAATTTAATTTTTTTAGGAGAGGCAAGCAGAAATCAAAAAAAATAGATAAAAAAAAAAGATTTAAACAATATATACGGATGATAGAATCCTCCTTTTTTAAATCATTTTTATCCTAACTTTCAATCATCAAAATAACTAATATGAAAAAGGCACTATTTAAGTAACCGAATGATGTCAAAAGCTAAAGTTCTTCATCAGAAGACATCTCTGTTATCTAAGTTAAGTAGTAATCTTTAAGCACGTCAATGTTGTAAGACTCTTTGGAAAACTTTCTTGTACTGTTTTGGCGGTAAAAATGAAAATATTTATTTCACGCTTAAGTTGCTTCTTTGGATAGTTGACCAATAGAAAGCATGCTCTATGAAAATAAAATCATGAATAAGGATTTTATGCATTACAGTGGTCATCAGATACAATGGATATAACTGGACACATAATTCCGCAGGTTTTACATTATATTCCCTTAATTTTTCGACATCAATTTTATGTTCGAATGATATTGTTTCCAATATCACTTTACGATATATTAGGTTATAATTGAGGCCATGAAAACAAAAGTGGTGTAAGCAACATAAAAACAATGGAGAAAATAGTAAAAATAAAATTCCGTAGTTTTTCAATTGAATTATCTCACTTGATTTTGAATTCATAGCAGCTTTTCAGTTTTAAACATCTATTGAGACATTTCTTCAAGTTTTTTATAGAGCTTTGTGCATTTAATTTAATTAATTAAAAAATAGTTTTAATTTGTTAAAATTGAAAAGCAAAAACAATGATTTAGCATGCCATTTAGTTAAGGTTAATCATAAGTTACTTACACCACTTTTTCTCTAAAGATATAGATAAAATAAATACGTGACGCGAAAAAAACACAAAAGTGGTATAACCCACAAATTGTAAATTTGCGGGTTACATCACTTTTGTTCTCGTGGCCTAAATTAATACATTGTATTTCATCTGCCAACTTTAGGTCGGCAAAAAATTGTTGTCTAGTGCTGCTATCATTTGAGTTAACAAACCCAAACTTAGGTACGCATAAATTTAAACCTATTTTTTCTAAAATCCGATTGTATTTCTAGTTTTCTTTGCTTGACAACGCCTTTTCCGTTTTCTGATTTAGCTTGCCATTTTCTACTAGGCAATTTATAGAACAGATGCAATAAATTTTTAAATATTTGGATCCTGGCAAAATTGATTGAACCCAAACTTTAGTGTACCTGATTTGACTTCTTTTTTTATTGTCAAATTATTAAAATCTTTTGTTGTTGCACCACAAATGTTGCATCTCATAGTTGAAGTTGTTTGAGTGGCTGCATTATACACCTTAGCATCAACCATAGTTAGCATCATATTATGTTTAACTGAAAAAAAATTCCAACCCACTATCAATATTGGGTGACAGGAATAATGTCGCAAAATTTTAATTGTAGAAAATTTTTATTGTCGCAAATTTGGTTGTCGAAAATGTGAAAAAGGAATTGTGTCGCAAATTGTTGCATGATTGATTGTCGAATAGCAAAATAAGGAATAATGTTGCAAATAAATTTAATGAATAGTGTCAAAATTAGAAAAAGGAATAATGTCGCAAAAAAGTTTAATAAATAGCGTCAAAAACAAAACAAAAAAACAGAATAGTGTCGCAAATGAATCTAAGGTTCCGTTTTTACTATTTGTGACACTATTCCTTTTTAATGTTTTCGACACTATTCCAATTTTACTATTTGCGACATTATTCCTTTTACTATTTCTAACTCTATTCCTTTTTTTTATTTTCAGCACTATTCATTAAATTTATTTGCGAAACTGTTTCTTTTTTTTTTTGCGACATTAGGGCTTTTTAATATTCGACACAATGACACAATTCCGAAATTCATTTTTCGACATTATTCCTGTCACCCTCATTTTTGTATCATACAATGAG